CGTATTTGATTCAAATTAATCGGTTTTATTCGAGAGGAACTCGGCCTCAATGGAATTAACTCGCTGGGTTATTGAGGGGTCAGACTGACTTCACTCATGCAATGAATCATGCTCGCATTCATGCCTGGACATGGAGACCGACTTATCGATCCATCTTGACGTGATTCACCTCTTCACCCGACCGACAAATGTCAATTAACTCCAGGTTTGTTCATTCGTATCTATGACGCACACTCGATCAACGATCACGAACCTAATGTTCCCGGGTGGAACGAGGTGTGTATGTGGGGGGGGGGGCAGGGAGCACGGCCCACCTCACCCCCCCCCTCCCGGACACACTCATCTTTGCTTGGTTGCTCACTCAAGAAATACTTTTGTTTGTTTACGGAGAAGTTAGTTCATTCGGACTGGAACGGGCTTAGACAGACCCGGTCCAATCGGTGCAATTTGATGGCCGAAACATCAATAATCTTTTGGGGTTTCCAATGGAGTGCGATTGGTTGGAGTCACTTGAAGTTGGAAAGGTATATTGTTGGCCTGCCTGCATATGCGCTTGCACCTTGTTGACTCACTGGCCTGCAAACCAGCTACATATATGTTCAATAAACTGTAATTAGACAGACTGCGTAATTTCGCGCGTCTTCATTTAGTTGTTTGAACGGGACACAACACCCCGGAGATAATGTGATCGTCTGTTTGAGAATATTCAACAAGTTTCACGGGATGGATCAACTCTTCAGGTGAACAGTTGCAAATACTCTTATGCACACGCTTATCTGAAAGTCAAGTTGCCCCGTCTGAACCAAACCTAACCACCTCAAGGAATACGGTTTGCGCTCTTGTGTCGCATCCAGTAAAGAACCACATGCGGATGTGTGCAGATGATCGCAACGAAGGCAATGCGTAAAATTTTCAACGGCTTCCTTTCGATCAACAAGCGCTATTTGACGTGATCGATTAACCATGTCCAGTTGAAAACTAATCAATAACAAGAGCATGGAAAACATTTTTGTGGAGTGTTGAGATAAATGACCCGCATGATGATCTTTGTTCATAAAAGCGATACATGTGAATAATGACCAAGTGGTTATACCAGTAGTGTTCAATGTTTGACAGGTAAATGCGCACAAAAAAATAAGGCATAAAATTGCTGGCGAAATAGACCAGTTTTGGATATGTACAACATTCGGGGACTAAGTGAAAAGCTGCTTTACTTTACAGAGTCTCGCAATATACTGCGCGTCGAAATTATGGAGACAATTATTTCCACATTTCACTTCTAACGCAGAGAACCACGAATCTATTCTGAATTAGAAAATTTACGTTTATGTAGCATAACACATTGAAAACGAAAACTTCATGACGAACAGACTATAGGGAAAGTACGACTTTCGCCGTTCGCACAATAGTTCGAAGTACAATGTAAAGGTTCGACAAGATCTGGGTTTTTTATTACACATGTTTGTTTGTG